AAAAAATCTTTAACAGATCTGTGGATTGTACCGTGCACAAGGAATTGCAAATTGCATGATGAGCGTGATGTCATAATCAACAATGACAAAGGATCTGGAAAATGAAGCGACTTGAAAATGCAAGAGAATAGGAATCAATTATACAAAACTTTACAATCTGTGCCGATAACCCCTGGGTCATATAATCAGGTGCAACATGCCCATGGAGACGTAACTGGACTGCAAAAGAGTGTAACAAACAGTACCACAGACTACTGGACTACTACAGGAGACCAACATGAACTTCAAGAGCCCAAGCAAGACACACATCACAGAGATACTGAAAAATACACAGCTTTTACCAAACGGGGTACTATATTTATTTATGATGTCCTTTTTATCAATTTTTTGAGACTACGTTGTGAAAAAACAAGATATTTTTTAGTTTTTGATTCAGACAGTTAAGTACAAAATTCAGATTTCATGTCAAAAAGGCAACTGCCAGGAAACACAACCGACTGACAAAAAACACTTACATCCAGAATCTCTGGACTCTTGTGTATTTTCTGACACCAAAAAAGAATAGAAAAAAATACATATTGATTGCACAGTGTAAGACTCATCCGTACGCCATTTTGAAACGTAACGTATGGCGGAGTTTTAAGTCGAGAAGGGGATATTTATAACTGATTCAGCTCACAGCGGCTGACTGTCTCCTGCGTTTTGACGCAGAAGAGTGGTTCTCATCTATTGCTCCCTTTCTTCGCATCACTTTCATCTTTTTTTTTTTCCTCTGACCGCTTACATTTCAACCCGTTTTTCTAGTGTCATTAAATATTTCAAAAAAATTCTGATCATTTCTATATATCCCACACATAGGGTTTTATCAAATCGGTCAGAAGTTTATTAAAGCGGTCACACGTTATTTGCGTCCAGACTCAAAATTATCTGCGGGCTGAATCAGTTAAGACCTGAAATGGTGCCCCACTCCTTAGCCTAATCCTTGCTTTTATGACTCTAATGCGACACAAATAAGCCCTTTTGTGACAATCCTTAGTTGTTGTTTTTTTTTTAGGGGGGACGGACTCCTGAGCTGCAGGCAGTAAGCATAGGGATAAACTCATCGACAAGGTACATGTGTAATGATATGTGACTTGTTTGGACAGTCGCAAAACATAATATGAACACAAACCATAAGCATTATTTGGAATGTCTTTATGTTCAGCAGGAAAAGGCTCTTACAACAGTTGCAACATTTTTGTTAATGAAACAGCATCTAAAGGTCTGGGGAATGTCTGAGAACATGTACACCGATTTGATTTGACCGATCCACTATCCTGGATAACTTGTGCGAAACATTTCAACATGTAGACACTTCGTAAAATACACAGGTGGCCTCGACTTATTCATTTTCATTCAGTTCACACAAACTGTTCTACTTTCAACTTGCAAGCTTTAAAAAAAAATATTCCAGAACAAGGACCAATTGCAAAATTTCCACTCGATAAGCCATAGAATTTGAAGTCACTCAACTTATTTACAGTTATAAAGATTAAGTTTATGAGGTGAACAAACCTTACTTGTATCACTTACAAATACAGGCACAAAACAAAGGACCCAATGAAGTAACGACTCAATTCATGTATCAAGATTCTCAGACATGGAGAAAGACTGCCCTTCCCAACATCAAACCTGTAGTCAAGTTTGGTAAATGAGGTAAGTAAACAGTCACATAAACAGCAAAGCCACGCTCAATATGTAAATTTGTGGGACTAAAAATCCAGGAGAAAAAAATACACAAGGTTGGACGACCAACGATAAAATAAATTCCAAGCGATATTTGTACAAAATGAAGGTTATGAAAATGGACGTGTGGCAACTTAATTTAACACTAAGGATAATACTAGTAGATAACTTCATAATACTGGAAATAATTTCACTTTTTTGTGTAAACATTATGTGATAATCTGATATAAAAGTTTTTAAAGATATGTTAACTAATAAAAGTATGCATCTATGTACGGAAGTAAAGGTTTCACTACTGCATGTCAATCCTTGAGTAGAATTACAGCACACAGAAACTCATCTTTTCAAAAATACTTACACACAACTAAACTACATCTCTTGGACGAAAGATTAACAAAAACTTTTATCCATTGTCTTACAGCTACAGATCTTTACACCTTTCTTATCTTGTGTTTCTGAGAGCCATACAAATATAAATAGTGACAAGTTTCAGTAGTACAAATGTATGTTCCATGAAGGAAATCGTCAACTTTATTCTCTTCACAGTTAATCTGAAAGTTTTACATTTTATTTTTTGTTCTGCCACCTAAAAATGGCACTCTAATCAAGTATGTGAAGACAACTTTGACCAAGAGAAATAGAACTTGAATCATTCTATCAAAAAGCTAATATGCAAAGCATCTGAGTAAAATAAAAACATTGCATTTCTCATACATCTATTATATCTTCACACACCTTTAAAGAATAACATTGGTAATAAAAAAGATTAAAATCCAGTTTTCAAAAAACTGTTTAACAAGGGCTCTGGGAATTATGTCTCATAAAATATTTTATTCTAAACATTCTTTGCAGATGCTTTACTACAATAAAGGAATTTTCACGAGCATACCCTCTCTCAATTTACATAAAACTCAGAAGATTAAGAAGATGGCAAGACAAGATGCTTCTCTGTGCACACAACATGCCAGACCTTGAAAAACTTTTCAGAGCACCCAAACCCACCAGTACACCTGGGGTAAACACAGACAGCCATTACACATGAGCACGGGGTACAACTCCCCTTTGTATGTAAAACATTCATGTTTTTTGTGTTGGGACATTGCATTCAAAGACTGAACACAAACTAGATGCCTACGGCTGAAATATATCTAAATTACTCCACTTGTCCGTCTTTCAAGCTTTTCTCCAATGTTCATAAAAAAAATAAACAGTTCAGATTTTTGTTGGAGAGAGGAAACTACTGAATCTTTAAAGTTAAAACCCCCCCCCACCAAAATTACAGTGCAGGACAGAAATCTAAACTCACTACACAACAAAACCTACACTGCATACATCTGCAACCATTTGCAAGACAGAAAAAAAAAACCCACAAGGTAAAAATACCACAAATGTAAAGCACCTGATGACTCCTGAAGTAAAACCGTAGACCAATAATGGATGGGAAAATAAAAAATTATGACAAAAGTGTCCGACAGCACACACATATACATAAAAACTAGAAAAGAAAATACTTGACTTAATGGACGGAGAGGCATTTGACTTGTCATGAACCTGGCACATTCATTAATAGTATAATGAAGTTGTGAGGTCTTCGTTAAAAGATTACATCTGGTAAACCCGGAGGTTCAAAGAACCATCAAAACTTCACCACCTCATTCACCACAAACGATTGGTAACTGTAGCATAAATTATTATTATTCTTTTTTACAGATTTAGTTTACCCTCTGTTGTAAAAATTTTACAGAACTGAAACAGCAACTATCACAGATGCTTCAGTAAAACAATATTATTTCAGAGTTTGCACATCTCGTAAGTTATTGCAAATGTCAGCTTCTCACCTACATATATATATACAGTAACAAAAAGAAAAGAGCAATCCTCTTCTTGAAACCACAACACAAAAACTGTTATTTTCCTATTACCACTTTTCTGTTGTTACCTCTCCAGGGCTCCCTCCTTGCCATATTTCACTAAAAGTCAGGAATACTTGAAAACCTTTCTTTCTACAGGTGCTGAAGATGTCACCTTAAGGTTTGACATACAACCACCGCTGCCCAATATACAGGCTTCCTGTCTCCCAGGAACTAAACAGTAGGAACTGCCATGGGTCAAATGTCCACTCAAAACCATGAAGCTCGCTGGTGATTGAATGGTAACAGACATATAGACTCCTGAGGCCCCTTTCATCAGACAGTAGAGGGCGTCAGTGCCAGGACCAGTAATTAATTCTATTAACAAATTTTTTAGTAAAGACATATCTACAGATACAGAGCAACGCAGAGTTGAAAACTTTTACAAACAAAAGCCCAAAATTTAAAAAATTCATAGTCAAACAGCCCAAAGTCCTAATACAACTAGTGACCACATTTCTCTCCGTTACGACTTTAACTTGTCTCCGAGGAGGCTAAACCCCCTATGCCGGGGCCCTCTTTTGGAACGAAATTTTAAAGTGACACATACATCACTAAATTGGTCATTAAATCAAAACAAGTGAACCTATTTTGATAGTTCTTCCTCTAATGAATGAACTCCAGGTAAAAAAGACCTGTTTTCGGCAATTGCTGAAAATAAATTTGATGTCAAAGTCTTCATAAAGGAATGTGCCTGAGCCGCTGCCACAACTCACCAGCATAGTGGCTCTGACCGCGAGCAGCTTGCCGGACATAAGGAGTTTTTAACAAAAGGTGATATTAAAATATTAAATTCAGATACCTGTTCACAATACAACCTGGACAGATTATACCCTACAAAGTATTGACAAAGATCACGGAGACGGGAGTCATCCACCCTTCCCACATAAGAGCTACAGTGGAATGTCGTCAACCTTACACAGGCACTCCAATCTGTTCTATGTACAAGAGACAGAAAGAAAGATATCATATCACAGTGAATATCACATAGCTATGACTGACCATCCTGATTGACTATGGTTACCGACACAGGCATATATTTATGAGCAAAACAGATGAGCCATGAGGATGAATGAAGAACAAACAAACGATAAGGATATAATTTAATAAAGCATTCCAAGACATACCATTAACACTGTTGGAGGTTAAGGGTAGAGACAGAGTGGACGTACCTTGCTGGATTTTTCAGCGCATTTCATCTTTTTGATGATTTGATTACGCGATGCTCCCAGGATCCCTGGTGCGAACGGAGTGGGAGCATCTTTCAGTCATTAAAACTCGTCAGTAGATCTAGAACTTTTTTGTTTCGTAAGAGTTTTACGGCACTTGCAACACAAAAAGGTCACCCAAGTGCGGAAGATTAGAGGTGTTACAAGGGAGTAACAAACACAGAAAAGAAGGAGGGGAGATAAAGACGATAGATGTTTCATAGGAAAGAAAGAGCAAACCACACCAGAGTACCCTCTAAACACCCACAGATCTAGAAGAACAATGGATGAAGAATGTGATTTTCAATAGTTGTTATCATGGTTAAATAAATGGAAACGAGCCCAGCGTTGATACTGGGTGCATAGAATAAATCAAAGACAAAATGTGGAAAGTACCACCACATAATGGACAAAATACTAACAGATGAGGACAGATGCATCTGTTACATCAGAATGAAGCTATCAACATTTATCAAGTTTCTGTTGCTGTAGTGTTCATCACCCTTGTCATAAAGGCATTTTCTTTTTCTCAACCGCATGAATCAATGCTTCTGTGTCCATTTCAAACGACGTAATTAAAATGAGCAGACAAACTACACTCTACACACACTAGACCTACATCTAGCAGCAATTTGATGACGGACGCCTGCAATATTAGTGCAGCTTGCAGTGCACTCGCGGAACATTTTAAAAATGTGTCCTCGCTACTGGGCCTCACACTCCTTTTGTAAATGAAATTTGTTGTCATCAAAAAGAAGCGTCATAAACGCTTACTCGTCGCTTCGGCAACGCCAACTCTGTCTGTACACTAAAACAGACATCTCAACACATTGATGATGGGACTGAACAAACAAAATGTAACGGAACAAAAGAGGATGCACTCCCCCCCTCCCCTCCCCCCAAACAAAATTTAGAAAACAGGCAGCCATCCTCCAAATGTCACTAGTTACAACACATATCTACCTCAGGCACAACAAAGTGCAAAGTTCATTAGAAGAATACAGAATCATTAAAGGGATACTAAGTCAGGTCTTGAGGAAAATTTAGAAAAGATGATGCCTAAAAAGATCAGGCTACCGACAAAGTGCAATTAAGTGAATGAATGTGAAATGGTTTGACAACATTAGATTGATCGAAACCAAAGAAGGGAAAACTAAGGCCTGTGGGCCAAACCTGGCCCTTCATTGAGTTTTGTACGACCTTGACAAAATTTGGTGAATCTTCAAACAAAAAATGTAATAAATTTTTGTGAAAGTGGTTGCATTTGTCAATATATTAGAGCCAAGACTAACACTCACAGCATAATTTAAAGAAAAAATTATTTGCTAAATTAGACTAATTCTTATCCCTTTATCATAATAACGCAGTTTATATTTTGTTTGCTTTTTTGTTAAAAAAAGAAGATACCTTGAGGTTTATCACCAGTTTTAAAAGGTGCAACATTTTGCTGCTTTTTGCGAAGTCCAAGTGGCCCTGATCCGAAGTTTGCCTAAACCGATCTCAAAAAGTGGTTGAGTTGCTGAAAATCTGGCATGTGGCAACTTTCTGAGTAGCCATTTGTTCATTATTTTCACACCAGACCAAATTTGCAAGTTTTTGAGTAATTTTGCCTGGTATTATTTGGCTAGTTGAGAGCAAATTATTACATCAACATATCAGTGCTGATAACAGAAAAACAGATTGATCATATAAAGTAAGGGCAGGCTGCTTCAACTCCATCAGCCAGGGCCAACTTGGACTGACTCGGTGGTACAGGCGATGTATATCGAACTCGTATGTATCTCATGTGTGTGATGTTGAAGGGCAAACTATTACAACGCTAATGCCTGTGTTAAAATGTTGAACGATGTGTATCCTGACGGACAAAAAATAAACATGAAGAATGAATCCTATCACAAAGGCCACTCACCATCTGTGTGAGTTGACCAAAATCATAAAAAAAACCTTACAAAAAACCCCCCCCCCCAAAAAAAAACAACCCAGACAGAGCCTGTAACACAACATAAAACACTCTGTAACATGAAAAGGCGTCATTAATTCTTTGAGAAAACACGACACTTTTGTGAGGAAAAATCATATATTGAAACCTGGTAAATAAAAAATAAAAAAAAGGCTTAAAATATCATATTTTAAATACAGGTCAGAAAACTTATCAAAATTGAGCCACGCAAATAGAGCCTCTGCTTTAAAAAAATATTCTTATTCTCTCTTATAACAGAATTCAACTCATGTTAGAGACAGGATAAAACATCTCAGGAAAATAAAAATGTCTCAAAACTAATACATTCCAATCTGAAAGTATCATTCTTTTCAAAGCAACACAGAATCAAATTTTGCACCGCAATTCAGCCAATACAAAAGGTACCAAGGTATATTGAATTCTGCTCTGCAATCTCAATTTCACATTTATTAGAGAGTGAGGGGATCTACTATTTCGTATCTGTCACATCAAGACTAATGAACAGGTTCGACTATTTCAAAATGAGGCAGTATACTGTCTACTGCACCCAATACACCTTACTTGTACTAAATAAAGTCCCTTTTTGGCTATGAGAGGAAAAATACTGTTCTTAACTCTCTCACTACCACAGGGGTTTCCTCACCTATCAGTGACCTACTTTCTGATTCTGCCTACTGCCGGACAAATTAAAGATTTTTAAAGTTCAATTTTCAATATTAGCCACATGTGTTATATATTAGCGAAAAAATTACCCATCTCAACATGCTGCTAAAAACGATCGTTCTTCAGCCGAAGATTGCAGATTTGATTATTACAAAACTAGGTGCGGTATTGAAGCCAGAAGTGGAAACACAGCTCGCATGTGAAACATGGCTCGTGGTAGTGAATGAGTTAAGGAAAGTTTACACATGTTCTGCTTTCTATTAGTGAAAGGAGGTAAACATGTACAAGACATAGGTACATAACAGACGTTGAAACACATTTCTACAATACAAAATTTGACAGTTTCCAAAATGGGAAATTAAGGGTGTTTTTTTTAAACAAAACCTTCAAGATTTCAATTATCTGTGGTTTCCACTGTACCCCCCCCTCCCCCCAATTCATCCAAGATGGATATTCTTGTAATAATATACTTATATACATTGGTATACACTGTAAAGAGCATATGCGCTATACAAATGCTACTCATTATTCATTATTACAACTATTCTACTTTCCATATTTTGACAAATCGTTATTCACAATAAAAGATCTGCATTTGACACATAACAAATTCACAAAAACAATGAAAAAGTGAAGAGTACGTGGAGGGCGCCTCAGAATGAATTGCACTTTAAAAACTATGCAGATGCTGTCAGTGTACAATCATTTCAGAAAAACTTTATTTATGGATGAAAGCACAATCACAACAATCTATACATGTGGAGTGCTGGAAATGTATGTTTTCAATCCAGCAACAGCTGGGCTCTCATCAAGCACTACCTCATCAACAAGCACAGATGAAATACTTTTACACTGGCAGATCTTGTTCTATAACACTATATCTCAAGAGTTCCATTTGCATTTCACATTAAATAAAACATGTGTGAAATTATTTTTTTTTTCTATTTCATGCAGCCTCACCTGCTGGAAATTTGAAGAAAAAAAAAGTCTCTCAAGGCATTTTACAAAATCAGTCAGCAGCAATGTTTAAGGGAACATGCAAACAAATTAGGCTTTGTCAATGGGAGAAAAAAACAAATCTTGAGTGCGATGTAGGGTATTAGGAACAAATATCATTGATCAACATTGTCAAATTGATGGGGGGAGGGGCAGTCATTCCAAGAAAAAAGAGATGTAATGTGTCCATCAATGCATCTGTGTGGGAGCGTACATGTGTGCTTGTGTGTGTTGTTGTATGACAGATCAAGCACATGTGTGTATGTGGGTGTGTGAAAATAAAGAAAGGGAAAGAAAGACAGACAGAGAGAATGATTAACGAATCTTAAACAACTGCTTCCAGAAAAGCAATCATCACTTTAAGAAAAGCATTCATCCAGCGGTAAATCAGAAAAAAAAAGTTAAAATAATACTGTCACAAACTTGTCCTTACGCAAATTTTCGTTCACCTCAATAATTAAACACTTTCAATCCCAACACACCGAGAGAGATCCATTATCCAAAGAGCTACGGAGGTCAGGACGGGGCCTCCAGTGGCTCAAGAGGAGAGGAATACGATTCAATTCTCTTCAGCAGTTGAGAGCCCACGGGACAGAACTCTTCTTGCCAAGTATCCTCTATGTACTCACGCATTTCTTCGTCGGCAGCGGATGCCAAAGCTTGGCTCAGGGCACAGTCCTTGTCTGAAGAGAACAAAAATAAAAGCCACTTTTATTTCACCAAGCTAAAGAAAATCTGTATCATTATCATCATCATCATTGGCCTCTTTCCCCCTGGTTTTGGGCAAAGGCTGCCAAGAACGGCTCTCCGCCTTACTCTGTTCTGGGGCATCTTCTCTACCTGTAGCCAACTGTTAAAAAAAAAAGGAGACAGTAGAGACTATCAAATTTGTTTTAGTGCGGGATCTTATGCTACAGACAAAATAGCTATCATTCATTACCGCTACCATAAGAGCATTAGAAGAGTGCACTACCTCATCAACAATTCTTACTATAAAATTATGTCAATTTTTAAAAACTACTCTGGCTACTAGAGGCCAGTAATTTGAGCAAATCATGAAAAATTTTGCTTAAAGCCTCAACACAAGAAATTTACATTGGACACTTGATAAGAGCCCAGCTGTTGCTGGATTGAAAACATACATTTCCAGCAAAGACCCTTCTTCCCCCTCACACACACACACACACACACACACACACACACACACACACACACACACACGCACGCATGCGACTAGTACACAGGAAATGACCATACGTATACAAATATTTATTATTTTTCTTTCGATCCACTCACTTTCTATCCATGATCATGTCGTATTTGTCTTTTTTCATTTGGAAATCCTTGATGCGACGTGTGTCTGTGTATTTACATATTATTCTTTACAGTGTAAAAGTCCCTCAGTGAATGTGTGTATGCGTGTACATGTTAAATAGGTCTTCGTCCAAATACATAATATGAATTTCTTGTGTTGAGGCATTTATGCAACCTTCTTTTGTGATTTTCCATGACTCACGGGAATGTGGAAGAACATAAAAAATTGTAAGCACAACTCACCTAAATACTCGGCCAACAACTCTGACAGCTCTGCTGACTCTTCATTCCCAAAGCTGTTGGAGCTGGAGTGTATCCTTGAGCTGTAGTTGACCAGCACCTTGCACACACAGCCACTCAGCTGCCAGTCCTCACGACCAAAGTCACGGAGGACGTCTGTAAGTCTAGAGAGAAAATAAAAGAACGATATACAATTTTGACAATCTGTACTGGGAAGTACGCTTTATAAAGGAATGGAACTATTGCAAAATAACAAGATTAATCATTTGAGACAAGAAAGCATCATTGTACAACTCACTTTTTGGACGAGGGAATCACATCTTCCTCAAAAACACACCTTGAGCCCATATATCAAAAAGCAGTCCCACTCATATTGACAAGTTGTGAAAGTTAGTTCACATATCACTCTGGCCTCCAATGACTAAAGTGTAAAGGCAAAAAAGGTGGATCCAATTTTCCTTCTAATCGAAGCCTTTTCTAAACTCCTCTCATTGGCTTTCTTTTTCCAGTTTTCCAATTCAGTTCCTTTGGGGGGAAAAATAGCATTAGAGTCTGTTAGGAGTTCAAGCCCTGTCATTCATATTGGCTTTCAATTAATGGCAGATTTATTTAGACACTAAACCACCCTATAAGTGACAGAAGCACAGCGAACCTCTACTCAAACACATTTTTGTTTTAGTAAGAGTTTTACAGCACTTGTTACACAAGTTAGTCATATAAGTGCAGAGGAATAGAAGTGTCACAAAAGAGTAGCAACCAACAAAAAGAAGGAGAGATAAGGATGAAAGATGTTTGATAGGAACAAAAAGGATCAAACCATACAAGAGCACCCGTCAACCACCCACCTAAGAACAAAGAGAGACTACATTAGGCTTCTAACAAGATAAACTTCAACCAGATGTACCCAACATGAACAAGATAAAAGGTCAATATGGTAAAGAGATGGAGACGAGAAAAGAAAATATAAGGATATGATATGAAACGATTAACTTCACTATCCACCTGAGAAAATTACAAGGCTAATCTACATTAACAAAAAAAAAAAAAAAAGCCAAGTTTAAGCTTACTTTTGGATTCCTCCCTCTTTCTTCAAAATGGACCTCTTGTCTTCATCCAGCATGAAGTTTATTAGCACACCGCAGGCTATGTAGACAATTTCACGGTTACCAGAGTCCAGCAAGGTGATCATCATTGCATCCACTGTGGAAACACATTGGATGTCAGGTCATCTACGTCAAAGCTACAAAGAAGCATGTAATAAAAGTTGTGAGTAGTAATCATTGAAAGGACTGTGGAAACACTGGCCGTCAGGTCATCTGAAAAGAACACTGTGTGTGTATTTTTTTAGTACGAGTTCTACGGCACTTGTAACACAATTAGGTCATAAGAGAACAGCGAAAGAATGAGAGTGTGTGTGTGTGTTGGGTGGGGGTGGGGGAGCTGTTATAAGAGGAACAGGAAAGAAACACAATTCGCAAGAGATATTCTACCACAACCCCAAGATATCAGATAGAAGAAATAAATAATTGAAGCCCAGGTCCAAATTTAAAGAAACAGTACCAATGAAAGAGTGATCATTCTTTGCCTCCCCCCCCCCTCCCCCCAAAAAAAAATTAAATTAAATGAAAATGCATGAAACAAAATAATTCACAAATATTACTAGTCATGATCATATTCACATTCAGTTGGTGCCTGGCAATATTTCCAATATTTGCCTTTATTTATCTTCTCTGTTGTCTTATACATTGAATTTGAGCACAAATTGAAACCCCCCAAAAATATACATCAAAAGAAAAGAGACCCGGACTCCCCCCCAAAAATATACATCAAAAGAAAAGAGACCCAGGACTCCCCCCCCAAAAAAAACCAAAACAACAAACCAACAAAAACACCCCCCCCCCCACCACCAACCCAGATAACCACAAAGTAACATGACTCAGAATTACAGAAGAAACACATTCTTGTTAGTGAACATATTACCCTAAGCCATAAGGAACCTTAGACAGATTTTCCATAAAAGGAACAAAGCTGCCAGACAAACCTTTATTTTGAGAGAGAAAATCCCTGATCTGCTTGTGCCTTGTGAGATTCCCAAAGACTCTGGCTGCTTCCAGGATTCCCTCTGTGTTGTCTATCATGATCAGCTTCAGAAGGCCTGAGGAGAGCAGGAAGGCACAGGAGCATTATCATATCGATCATGAAAAGTTGTCTTGAATACTATCATATATTCCACAACACTGCTCGTTCCATTCAAGAGATTATGTGTATGTGTATGTCTGAGAATGTGTGCGAGTGGGTGCATGTGTGTGTGTGTGTGTGTGAGTGAATGTTTGGGTGTGTGTGTGTGTGTGAATGTGTGTGTGTTTGTGTGTGTGTGTGTGTGTG